TTTTAATTATAAGGAAATTTTTATATTTTATATAGAAATAAAGAATCACTTTTATGTAAAAAAAAATTTATTTATTACTATTAAAATTATATTTCTCCCTTGTCTTGAATCTGACATATCATGCTCTTTTTCTATTTTCTCACGCTATCACCTATCAACCATATTTGTTGAAATAATTTTCTTTTACATATAAGTTCTTTATTTTTATTTAAAATATAAAATATCACAGCATTGTGTGTCAGATTCGCAGAAATATTGCAGTCAAATGGCGTGCAAAAACATACATACAGTGTTTTTTAATAGAATTCTTTCTGCTGTCAAACCAGTTCCTAAACCGGTTAAGTGTGAAAACGAGTGTGATAAAAATGAATAATAAACCCTCATTCTCTCTTTTATGGTAGTGTAGATAATAGATCAAATAATAATAATAATAATAATAATAATAATAATAATAATATATATATATATTTCTTAATTTTTTAACCCTTATTTGAGTCTTATTCTTTTTATAAGAAAGTATTTTTGAATAGTGCATTGATGAAAAATGTGTGGTTAAAAAATGAGAAAAAATTTTAAATTTTTGTTCAATATTATTTTATTAAAGAATGTATAGTAAAAATAATATCAAAATACTATTTAAAAATGAGTTTTTTTGAAAAGAATGGAATTCAAACAGGAGACTAATGACACTGTCATCATTTTTATTATACTCTTTTTTTATGTCTAGTGTTCCCGAAAGATTAATTAGGATATATGTATCTACTAAATAATTTATTCTATTTGAAAGATGACGTGTGACTAAATCAAAGTTGGCAATGCGCTTTGGGAGGCGGGGATTTAAATGTTCTCATTTACCACTCTCATTTTACTGATTTTTTTATAATTTATTTATTTAGATACGGTTGGCAACTTAGAAATTTCGCCAAGTTGAGTAGGGTCTATTTGATTGTAAAGATGGAGTTGAAAACAAATTTCAGGTAATTGAATTGCCTAAAAATTATTTTCTTAGGAATTGTATGTTATTGTTTTTGATTGATATAATTTTCTACGTGAAAAATCTTAAAATTAAAGTGTTTTTTGTTTTCGTTTGGCATTGTTTTACATGAAAATTGTCAATTAAAGGGATAAATTTTACTGATATTGGGAATCAAATTTGTTTTCATTGCCAACAAAAAAAAAATCAAAAAAATCATCTATCTTTTGATATTCATTTGGCTTTATTTCACATGAAAATTGTCAATTAAAGAGAAATTTTTTTTACAATAATTTTTAGAATTAGTTTCCATTGCCAAAAAGAAATAATAATAAAATGCTACAGTAGACTAAAATTTGAATTCTCACCATATTGATGAGAATTCAAATTCCTTGAAAACAAGGAAAAGTACAATTTCCAATAAATCTAAGAAATTCAATTCCATGGTAAATATAAGCTATCAAACACCCTTTTTTGGAACTTGGAATCCAAATTCCATTTTCTAGGAAAAATTTTGTTGAATCAAACGGTGTCGTAGAGTTAGCAACGAGCCTTTTCTATCACGATTCTCGGAAGGTAGGAGGTCGGGATTCAAATATTTTTTTTATACCTCTAAGTTACTTATTTTTTTTTAATACAGTATTTTTACTTCTAAATACATACAATTCAAATTGAATAACTTAAATATACAATGAAACATAAGATTTGGGAAATGGATTAATAGCTCAAGAACAACTAACTAAGAGAAGGTGAATTGATTTTTGAAACTTTTTCGAAAACAATTTAAAATTAAGTAATTCATAGACACTTTCATTAATCAAGGTTTGATCCAAATGAATGACCTATATCTCCCATTAACAATATCAATAAAATAAGTAATCATATCGACAATGAGTTCATTTTGTTTCATAATTTTTATTTTCAAAATCTTTAACCAAAAATTTATCTTAGTTTCTTTTACCTTACTAGTACTTAAGCGAGTGATTTTTAAAGCATGCCAAATGTCATAAGCAGAATTAAATGTGCTAATATGATTAAATTCATTTTTATCTGAAGTATAATGAAGTAAATTTTTTCATTTTAGCATTAAAGATAATTTTCGTTTCTAGATGTTGTTAATAACCAATGAATGGCAAATGCTTTTTCTTGTGCAGATCCTATTTTTGTGGGAAATTGATAACTTCTTTATCGTGCTCCTCTCTAAGGCCCTGTTTGGCACCCATTTTTATCAAAATGCATTTTTCTCTCTCTTCTTTTTAACCACACATTCTTTATTAAAATAATATTACACGTAAATCAAAAACTTTTTCTTATTTTTCAACCACACATTTCCCATCAATTTACTATTCAAAAATTCATTTTCACATAAAAATTCCTACCAAACACCCTCTAAGTTTTGAAATGGCTTGATTTACCTTAATAACTTTTGTGGGCTCATGATGACCAAATTCAATAATGTTTCAAATGTTATAATCTATTAATTGAACATATATCATCATTCCAGCATTCCAATAGTTATTATGAGAGCCATCAAAGAAAGGAGGGCGATTTGTAGAATTTTCCTCAAGATTTTGAAGATTATGATCAGTCATTACTCAAGATTATAAAATCTTACTATTTGTTTGATATGGATTAAAATCTAATTTTAATCTAAGTTAAAATTAAACAATCAATATTAATCACATTTTTTATGGGTCCTACAACTTTTCAACCAAATATTTTAAAGACTCCTATCACAATCTATTAAAAATTCTAATTTTAATCTTTACCAAACACTCTTTTAATATAAATTGAGCACTTTTGCTCAGATATTAACTAATAGACCAAGAATAACTTTTAATATCAAATGGTGAATGATTTTTAAAACTTTTTGAATAATAATTTTGAGGGGTCAAAAAAAATGCATTTTGAAATAGTGTTATGATAGAGAATATGTGGTTAAAAAATAAGGAAATTTTTTTTTTGCGTATATATTAATTTATTGAAAATGTGTGGCTGAAATAGTATTAAATTACTGTTGAAAAATGTATTTTTATGAAAAAATGGGGCTCAAACAAGGACAAAATCAAGTAATTCATAAACATTTTGATTAATCAAGTAATACTTGTAATCAAAATATAATAAAAGAAAAGAGGTGATACAAACAATATATTTATGGAGGTTCAATCCAAATCAATGATCTACGTCATATGTTATCTAGCTTTTTATTATAAGCAAGGTTTTTTTTCACTATATTAATTGACTTATGGTGCAATCAAAAAATTTACAATGCTTTTGATGACTTAAAAATAAGGAGCACCGATCCTTGTACAATATTGAGCTGTCAATGGATCTCAATATGACCTAAAGATTTAAAGAATTGGATTTACAATAAAATTTCTCTCTTAATAAATTATAACAAACTATCAAGAGAGACTAACAACTTAATGAATAATAACTCAAGTGTTAGATGAGAAAACTTTGATGAATGTGATGATTTAAAAGTTTGATTTAGTCAATCTAAATTTTTGATATGAAGAAGTAGAAAACATAAGTGCTGTGTAAGTTCAAAGATTGACTTAAAATATTTCTCTTTATAATGCACTTGAAAGTCCTTACATTGATTGTAAAAGCGAACCTATTTATATAGCTCAATTTGTAAAACTTTCTGTGAGTTTTGGATAATAGATCGGACAACCTATAAAAGTCAGGATGACCCAAAGTATAGCCATGGACAAAAGGGAAAAGTCGGAATGGTCAAAATTTGAATTGTTTCATATTCGGCCGACTCGAGGACACCTTCATTGATTGACTTCTCCATTTGACTGTTTGATCCGATTCGAATATTTTGAAAAATGTGGACTTTTGAAAAGTATTTTCAACTAATTTTTTCAAAGTAAATCATATTTTGACACGAGTCCATCCCCACGTGAGGGGCGTGGACTCTCCTATGTACATAAATTATTAACACAAAGCACAACCCTCTTAAAAATATGATTTAAGTTCAATTATCTTTTTGAAAATTATTTTTACATTTGCTCAAAACATTTTATGTAGGTAATATCAAAGTACTTTTTGGTGAATAAAATATTTTTAAGTTTCTATCATTCATTGTCAAAGATCAAAGTTTTAGTATCTTTACATTTGTTCTAAAAAGCCTAGTCTTTAATTTATTATTATTATTATTTTTTTTGGAGTTTGCCTCTTAGGCTTTTGTCTTGATATTTTTTTTGAAGTTTGGCTTTTAAACTTTTTGTCTTGAATGCTTGAATGACTTAGACTATGATCTTGACCTTCTTTGTGAGTACGATTTGTAATGACAATCTTGATTTTGATCTTTTGATGATAATTGATTAATTTATCATAGCATTCTATGAAGACTATGATTATTTGAACAATTGTTAATAAAAAAAACTAATTTGTTTGTTATGATCACTATTTTAAGGTTAAAATCCGTTAAGTTAATAGATTATGTTTTCCTAAGAAAATATGCCATGTACGGTTAAATTTGAAATTAAATTGAAGTTTTTTCTTGTGTAGATAAATTAAAATTTAGTAACTCAATTGTTCTTAGGGCAACGTGGGATGGGGTGGGGTCTCAATATTTTGCTATTTGCAGGCAAAATTGTTAAGGAGTGGTTAAATTTAAAATTAAATTCAAGTTTATCTATTCAAATTAGATAAATTAGGAATGTGTTTGTTGCATATTATGATTTATATATTCTTTTACAAATTGATGACGTCCAAAAAGAAAGTGGAAGAATTTTATTTTTTCAGTTAGTTGATAAAATTTTGACTCAATCATGTTATTACATTATTTGTTGATAAATAAATCTATAAATTGTGATGTATATGTGGTAAAAACTAACCTAAAATTTAATGATTGAATTGAGATTTTGTTGAAACTTCAGCGACCAGGGATGAAATATGGTTTTATAGTATGTTAAAATATTATAAATTGAATGGGAGTAACGGCTGTAAAGGCAGAGCGCAAGGGTGTGAGAGGTGTGTAATTACTATTATTTTATTAAGATAAAAATTTGAGGATGAAGTGAAAAAGGGGCGAAAGGATAGAGGTGAGAGTTTTGGGAGTTTAGAGACCGTGATGGTTTATATCAATCTGCCTTCAACATGAAGTTAATTACTCGCACTAGAAACATACAAAGGAAAGGAACCCCACTCCACCTCGTTCGGCCTCTGAATCATTCAATTCAAGATTTCAAAACCCTCATTTCCCAAATCTTTCCATTTTCACTTTGTGAATGCATTCAGGTAAATAAATAACAAGAGCGTTATAGACAGAAAAAAGGGAAAAAAAATGGCGGAGACAAGAAAGAATAATAAGAAAGAGGTGATCCGATTGGAGCCAGAATCTGTCATTCCAATCCTCAAGCCTAAACTCACCGTGCACCTAGCCAACCTTATTGGTAATTTATTTTCTTTCATATTCTATGTGGGTCTTTTGATTTATCCCGTGTTATCTCTAGTTTTTCGAATTTGAATATGTGGGTCGCCATTTGCTTCCCATTTCTGAAGTTTTTTTTTTATTAATTATATTGGGGACTTGTTAAATCCACTTTTAATTCGTGAATCGTGCTTAGTTCTAATTGCTCATGATTCAGGGAAAAAGAAAAATAGGATGCGATGTGTTTAATAGATCAATAGCAGGGGAATGTTTCTTTTCCTATTTCAACTTACAAAATAGAATTGAAGTCCACAGAGAGAGAGAGAGAGAGAGAGTAAATAATTGCTAGGATTTTTTGTGTTTCGGCATGAACTTGGTGGCGCTGTCTTTGTTTTGAGTGCACTGTTTTTGCTGTTCTGCAGAGCATACTTCTGATCGCACTGAATTTCTGAAACTCTGCAAGAGAGTTGAGTACACCATTCGAGCTTGGTATCTTTTACAATTTGAAGATCTCATGGTAAAGTTTCCACTGTTATTGGATGGAAATATTGACATGAAAAATATCATCTAGAAAAAAAAAATGTTTTCCTTCTTTTGTGGAAAATAAAAAACACCTCCATCTAAGGAAAATATTTTCCTTAAAAATAAGGAAAATTAGGCATATTTTCAAAAGTTGGAAAATGTCTTCTATGGAAAAAATTAGCAATCAAACACCTCAAGTAGGAACTTGGGTGGAAAATGATATTTTTCATGGAAAATAAATGTAATCAAACAACACCCTAAATTCCTTCTAGTCGAAAGCTGACTTCCCCCCTCTCTTTTTAATTCTTCTTTAATTATGTTTAAGTGCATGCAGCAATTGTACTCCCTCTTTGATCCTGTGTATGGGGCTGAGAAATTGGAGCAGCAGAACTTATCTCCGGATGAAATTGACATTCTTGAACAGAATTTTTTGACGTACTTGTTTCAGGTAGAATGCAATACACAAAAAAGGAAGAGACTCATAACATCACATATGCACATAGCAGTTTTGCTTATTTTCGTGTTGAGACTCTGCTGCAGATTAATTAACTCAAGTGTTTCCAAAACAATTTTTGCATATACACAGTACACAAATGGCCATTATTAGTTAGGTTTTGTTTATGTCTACAATTACTTTTATGTTTGCTATCCACAAATACATAGTCAATCAAGTTAGCAACCTGCTGCTCATTTTCTTAGGTGGAGGGTGAAAGGGGAAATGAATTTATGTTATGGCACTCCAGATATTCCTTATTTATTTATATTTCATTTTGAATTCACTTTTAACTTATTGTGCAGGTGATGGAAAAGAGCAATTTTAAGATAGCCACCAATGAAGAGATTGAAATTGCACATTCAGGGCAATATCTTCTCAATCTTCCCATCACAGTTGATGAATCTAAGGTATGCAAATGTACATATGTGATTGATTTAGACGTTACTATTGATGATTGACGGAGATACTTCTATTTGGCATACTTGGGATCTTATCTCTGTTCATTAAATAGCATCTCCATGCCGTTCACATTTCTACTTCTTCTGAATGTAGCTTGATAAGAAGCTTCTGAAGAGATATTTTGAGGAGCATCCTCATGAAAACCTTCCAGACTTTGCTGATAAGGTATTGCTCTTTATTGCTCTCCCTCTTCCCTCACTCTCTCTGTGCAATTGTAAAGTGCATATTATTATGTGTAAATTTTGAGCAGAAGAGCTTTGTAGTTGACTTCGTGACATGACTTTTGTTGTGCATCAACCATGGAAAATTATATCCAATGCTTAGTTTCTACATATTTTGGTCAATTTCTACCTAAACGGTTACTTCAACTTTCATAACCATTCCAAATACTCCTCCCATATCAACTTGTGTCAATATAGTGATAAATCTTCATTTTATGTAGAATCCATCCCATTTTCTCTCTTTAAGAGAATTATTGATTTTCAACTTCTGCTCCGCCTTGGTAATAAAGTTGAGTTAATCTGTACTAGAGCTTTTTGAGAAACCTTATGTAATGGGAATCGGAACTAAAAATAAAAAATAACATCGATATAAGTGCTTACCTGTCAGATTCTGTCACAACTCTTTGCCAGCAACGACTTCTGAGATGCGCTTGTGTTCTGTCAGCTCAGCTGAAATTCCCCTTTTTAAGAAATCCAGTTGTTATTTGTTAATGATAAACTTGGTTTTATACTTCTCTTCCTTCCTGAAATAGTTACTCAAGAATTTAAACTAATACTATCACCTTAAGTGTCAAGTCTCCACTGCTTACTTTCTTGTTTTGCTCCTCTTCCTTTTTGTTAAATAATGGAATTTGAGTCTCTATTCACTATTACAGTATTTTTGGTAAAGCTTTTTTAAGCATAAAAGTTGGTCAAACATTATTTTGTTCCGCATATTTTTTAGGACCCACAACTCATAATCTATGAGAAGCTTTACCAAAATATACTTTGTTTTATGCAACTTTCTTGAAGGTAAATCTTTAGTAACTGTTTGTAGACCTGGACAATTATAAATCTTAGATTTGTCACCTGACTATATTTTTCCAATAGAATTTACCTTTTTCATTTTTTCCCCTGCTAGAGCATTTCATTAAGCACGTTTTTAACACAAAAAAAAAAAAAAAAAAAAAAAAAAAAAACCACTTTAATTTTAGGGTATTTTTGGTAAAGCTTTTTCAAGCTTAAAGTTTGTCAAACATTATTTTTGTCCGCACATTTTTTAGGACCCGCAACTCAGTCTATAAAATGCTTTACCAAACATACACTTAGTTTTATTCAAGTTTCATGAAGGTGAATCTTTAATAACTGCTTGTAGACCTGGACAATTATAAATCGTAGGCAAGTCGTCACCTGACTAAATTTTCCCATGGAATTTACTTTAATTTTTTTCCTGCAAGTGCATTTCGTTTTTAACCAAAAAAACTTTAATTTTAGGGCTTCTTGAGAATTTTTATCTAGTCAGCCTGATTCTTTCCAATTAATATTTGAAAACTAACGCCACGTTTCTCTGGGGCTTCTGCAAATGAGAAATACATCTTGATTAAGTAAATTCACAAATGTTTTATGCTTTTTACTCGAGCTACAGATGTTCAAAGACATTTCTGGTCTGATCAGATGATCACTAGATCAATTTATCACTCTGGAGATATGAAAACAAACTAGTGTAGAAATGCTCTTGGAAGCGTGATAACAGTTTCTAGAGATCATATCTCTGTAGTCAAATGCCTTTATCAACTCTTGCAGATTGTAATGTGAAGATGAGCCACTAAAATTCAAAAATCTGCTGTGGAAGGTGAACTCATGCATATGAATTGAGACACCAATGCCTTATTAACTCTATTGCAGACTGGAAGACTGGTGACCTATTTGGACCAATATTCACCTATTTGGACCAATATATTCACCATTAAAACATTTTCTATTTGATGATTATAATTTTAGTTTTATCTATGAAATTGAACTGTAATTTTGAAAAATAAAACTTACCCCCATTGTGTTAGTCTATGGTACGTCTGTTTTCTGGTGGGGGCGGGGTGGTATGGGGGTGCAAGCGTGTTTTGATTGGAGTAGTTATTAATATTCACAGTTTGATTGAATGAACTTCTGGAATAGAATATGATGTAACGATCTACTGATCACTTTGTCATTAATTTACCTTCTATGTGTCAGTCTTACTTCAGCAATTTTTTTCCTCAAAATAGTTGTAGCTCAAGACTCACATTATATCTATTCCAGGTTATTTTGGTTCTCATGGTAAATGATCAGTTTGAGTTTGATTTTCCATTTCGCTTTTATTTATTTATTTATTTTTATTTATTTATTTTTTCTCTAGTATGTTATCTTTCGACGTGGGATTGGAATTGATAAGACAACTGATTACTTTTTCCTGGAGAAAGTGGATGTGATCATTGCACATCTGTGGGCGTGGATTTTGAGAAAGACCAGGTGAGTGACTTTGTTTATTATAATCATTTGAGTTGCTTAAGTCTCAGGGCAGTCAATATCAAAATGTAATTCCATGTTGTGGTATCTGTTCCATATTTATGATTTTCTCTTTCTGGCCTCTTTTTGTAGTATAAATCTATCTGTGCCATCCTTCCATGCAGTCCTATGATATAGTTTCTAAGTAGAGGTCTTTTGTCACATGCAGGTTAGAAAGGATTTTGTCTAGGAGATCAAGTTCACTACATAAAGAGGATCCAAAAAAAGACGATGAAATCACTGCTGAGGTTGAGCAAGATGGATTATATGCTGAACGTGTTCGTCTTGAGAAAATGAAACTAAGGTTTTAAATCACTATTTTAATGATTTTCATTTTTATTCTTGAGTCACTTACTTTGGGTTTATAATAAATTTAAAGAGATCCCCTTTCCTTATGTTGATCTGTTAAATTCTGAAATGCACTACTGGATTTGCATAACAACTAAACAATCCTGAATTATATATATGGCATGTTTGATAATGCATTGAAATCTGTCGAAAAGTTCTAGATTTCTCTATTTTTATTAATATATTCCCAATTGGAGATCTTATTTTGTTAGCACAAATTACTCTGGACTTGCTCTAAGTTGTGCGAAATCTAATGGATGAAATAGGTGTGTGGTATTGTGTGCACAATGTCTAGATTATCTGACCACAACCATTAATTTTCTGCTTTAATGGATGCTCATGTGGACGGAAATTTAATATAATTCAGATGCCAGTCGTGCTAGTTATGTCTATGCGTTGAGGTAATTTTAAATGCGTGACCAGTCCAAAACCCTCATGCACAACGTAGAATTGACACTTGTAAATGTTGCTTGCTTCAAGTTCTTGACAAGTATTTTCATGTTTATTGTTTTTATTTTGTCTTGATTCAGTCTAAGCAATCTTCTGAGCAAAATCACTATTCAAGAACCCACATTTGATAGGATAATTGTTGTTTACAGGTATCCATTCAGATTTCTTTTATTCTTTTCACTTGAATTTTTTATCGAGACTGTTTATTTCGTATAAACAGTAATACTGGTAGTTAGCTCAAGTGCTAATGTTAGCTTAAACTAGTCTTATTATTGTTGCTCCTTTAACTTCTTAGCTTTTCTTCATTGCTATGCAGGCGAGCAAGTTCCCAAACAAAAGCAGAGCGTGGGATATATGTCAAGCATTTCAAAACCATACCGATGGCTGATATGGAAATTGTCCTTGTGAGATATTTTTAGCTTGTCTCTTTTTCTTCTACAACCTCTCTCTTTTCTTGTTGATTCCCTATGCACTAGTACTTGGTTATTCCTTTAAACTTTTTATTTTTCTTTAGATTAATCTAATTACATTCCTTACATAATTTTAGATTTACTACGGTGCTAACACTTTCTTTAACAACTTTGTTTTCTTTATATAGCCAGAGAAAAAAAATCCCAGTTTAACTCCAATGGACTGGGTCAAATTTCTTATCTCTGCTGTAGTTGGACTGGTCAGTTACGTAGTATCCATTAATCATCTTTCCTTCTTTCCATAAAACAATTGTCACATGCTTCAATTGTGGAATCTTGCAGGTGGCTGTTGTAGGTTCAGTTGAAATGCCTAAAGCTGATTTCTGGGTCATGTTTGCCATTCTCTCCACAGTGATCGGTTATATTGCTAAGACATACTTCACGTTAAGTGTTTTTTCTCCTAGACTTTGATGCGTCTCAGAATATTTTTCAAAGGGAAAATGTAAAAACTGGTTTTCTTAACTAGACATAAAATCTGGCTTTGTGGTTTGAGTGCCTATGAACATGTGGGTTCCAACCGAAGCTTTGTTCAATTGCCTGCAGGTTTCAACAGAACATGGCTACATATCAGAACTTGATCACTCGGTCAATGTATGACAAACAACTAGATAGTGGAAAGGGCACACTTCTTCACTTGTGTGATGATGTAATTCAACAAGAAGTAAGTTATAGCATTTGGTCTGTAATTTTTCTCATTTTTGAAATTTAAAACCAAAAATGTTACCTTATACTTGTGATAGGTTTTTATCAAACTGACCGTTCCTGTTTTTTTGAAAGCTTGTTATTGCCAGTGTATGCAACAACTACATGAAGATGTACGTTTTTTCTCAAATACGTGGCCATAAAACTCTGGCTAGTTTATTCATGTGATCCCGGAACTTATGTATCATAATTAGATATTTCCCCTTTTTTTCACTTGTTTTACTGGCAGTGGCTCGCATGTGAGGTTTTTTTTTTTTTTTTTTTTTTTTTTTTTTTTTTTTTGGGGGGGGCCCCTTTTTTGGGTTTTTTTTTTTTTTTTTTTTTTTTTTTTTTTTTTTTAAAAACCTATCCAAAGTTTATATTGTCTTTGTGAAAAAAAAATAAAAAATAAAAATAAATACAGTGTCAGGTTCTTAAGTTGAATATTGCAAATGTGCAGGTAAAGGAGGTGATAATTTCATTTTTCATATTAATGGAGCAGGGGAAAGCTACTCTGGAGGTATGCAGAACTGGTGGCTCCTTCCTTTGATCTTGAATTTGACAAATTCACTATGTCTACGGATAATGATATTTGATCCATCAATCTGATCATATAAGTAGGATCTTGACCATCGATGCGAGGATCTAATACAGGATGAGTTTGGTGAACGATGCAACTTTGATGTTGATGATGCGGTCCATAAATTAGAGAAATTAGGCATTGTTTCTCGGGTGAGATTCACTCTATCTGTTTCAGTTGCCACCCTCTTTTGCTTGTCGATAAATTTTCGTTTATTTAATACATATTTCTATAAGTGGGTCCACCTAGCACTTGTGGATAGGCTGGGAGAGATGTCCTGAACATGTAGTCGAACCAGTTATTTTACATGATTAGTCTATTTCTTGATGATGAAAACAAGTGTCTATAAACAGTTTTAAATATAAATAGACAGAAAAGAGTGATGGATAAATGGTTAGTACTTGTGGGTGTGGATAAAAAGTGGCTCCAGTATTTATAAACATGAGCCAAACATAGGTGTCTATTTTCACGTCCAACTTTTGTGGTAAAAAACTCTTTTTCTTCTATTCTCGTAGTTTGACTTAGTTGCAAATTATGAATTCAGGATTCAATTGGAAGGTATTTTTGTGTCGGTCTCAAGCGTGCAAACGAGATAATTGGCACGACCACTGAAGAACTTGTCATGAAAGCAGCACAGTTTTCCGGTGTCTCCTGATTCTTGTATGACATTTCCTTACCTATCAAAAGCTCTTTTGTTTTCCAGTGACTCCTGATTATGTGTGTGGAGGTACGTGGAAAGTATGACATTTCCTTGCTGATGAAAAGCTTGTTTCTACCCCACTAGCTGTAAATCTCAACGACCCTTTAGTGTTTATTGGTTAGTTTTTAGTGAAGGCATGATGAATGAATCGAGTTGTTTCTTACTACGACTTCGAGATTGGCTTATAAACCAAATAGCAGGGGCAACTTGAGACTTCAACTCAATCAAATGAAGAGGATGATGGTTTCAGTGTTGATCTATTTCATTACATTCTCAAACACTAAAGTCATCCAATTAATCGGTGTCCACGCAAAAAATAAAAAATGGAAGTGGTGAAAATTTCTTCAAATCAGCCCAATCAATTCTTTTATATTGTTCTAGTGTGCAATCCCCTTTGTATTTTAGTGCAAAAGACTGTATGATAAGAACTATTTTCATTCCTCTATTTTCAACTGTTTTGTCTTGTCCCGTTGGGAACATGAATGCCCTGAGCTGTTATTTTTTATTTTATTTCTATATTTTAAATTTAAATTGCATTTGGAAAACGAAAATAATAATCTTTAAATAAATAAGTAAAGATTAAATTAGAGCTTGGCTCTTCAATTTTTCATGTGGTCTGATTATGGATCTCCAATATAAATTGGGATTTTGGATCCTCTACTTATTCAAATTTGTAGATTTATATCTTCATGCGAATCATCATTGTAGATGTTAAAATTACATGCGGCTCTAACATGACTCAAAATTAAATGATTAAATTATTTTACATTCATCTCCAATTCATCAAAAGCAAGATTGACAACGGTGCGGATTCGAAGCAGAGCTGTCTCCTTAGCCTCGTTGGGTATTTTTTTTGCCCCATTACCCGTTTAAAGCGGGGCGAGGCAATTGCCTCATTTACATTCGCGTTAAATTATTTCTTTTCTATAATTTTTTATAATTCATGATATTGCCCACATTTATTTACGTGAGACAATAATATAGTTATTAGATTTTTTAATCAGTATATTTATTTTTAAAAGTTAAATTATTCAAATATATTTGGTAAAATAATATTTTCATTGTTTATTATATTGTCTAGATAATTTTAGTTGATATATTCTATTAGAATTAATAAAATTTTGTGGTGTTTTTCATTTAAAGTATTGAATTCTTAAAAATAAATAAATAATAATAATAAATAGGGCGGGGCGGGGCGGGGCCTTGTTACCTGTACCCATCTCGCACCCAACTTGATTATCTGATTAAGCGGTTAATCCTCGCCCCATCGAGAAGGGTTCCGTAGGTATCGAATTTGACGAGTATTTTTTTATCATTCCTAATCAAAAGTGGCATGTGATTTGAACATCTAGATTGATAAAATGGAACCCAAATAAACATATTCGAACGCCAATTGCAATGTTGTGAAGCTTCATCCTAATTTATTCACACGTAAATAGAGAATTATGACAGAAAATGTGAATAATTTAATTTTTGTCCTTCCTGTTCCATCATGTAGGGCTTGGCAATCGTTCAGCCGAATCAACGCAACCTAAGTCTATTGGTTTGGGTTGGTTTTAAAGTTTAATTATGTTTAGCTGGATTGAAAAATTAAATTTGAGGTTGGATTGGATTGTGTTCGGTTGGACTAGGTTGGATTGGTTCACGAGTTATGAATTAAAACTCAATCCAACTCAACACAATCCAAATCAACTTGATGAGTTAAAAAAAATTTAATATCTAAGCCCTTGTCCCATTTTGGGAGGAAAAATGCATGTTTGAATAATTTATTGATGGGAAATGTGTTAAAAAATAAAGAAAAGTTTTAAACTTACGTGTAATATTATTTTAATGAAGAATTTGTAATTGAAATTATGTCAAAGCACTTTTGGAAAATGTATTTTTTTTTTCAAATAATGGGGCTTAAACAAGGGCTAATAATAATAATTAAAAAAAGAAAAACTAAATAGACATAATAGTGAAGATAAGACAATAACTTATAATTTATAAACGTCCATTTTTATTTTTACATTGACTAATATAAATACTATATATAAATGCAAAGTTATTTAACGATAAAATAAAAATTAAGGATATGATGGTGAAATGAATGAATCCCAAAAAATTGTAAAAAAATACATAATAATTTAAACTTATTTATGCATTTTTTTTAGAATGAATTCCTTGTATAGATGTTTAAAAAAATTGAGTTTTTTAAGCAATTTCAAACTTTAATAATTGTCAAAAAAAATCAGACTCAACTTTAATGGGAGTGTAACCTCTTAATTTTGTGACTGATTACATGCTACAGTAAATGTGTTGATCTAATATTTGTTTTCGACGTGTGGGTTTCTGAAGCGTTTCGTGAATTAATTTGTTCTTTCTTTTTCTTTTTCTTTTTTTTTTTTGGAGGTAATCATTTTTTTTTTTTTTTTTTTTTTTTTTAGAGGTAATAATTTTTTTTTTTTTTTTCGTTTTCTTGAATCAGTTTCAATTTTTCTTTCTCATGAAGGCTATGTGATTATGGTCAATGGATGTGTCTATTTTCGTAATGTTTCCCTTGTTGAGGGGAAATTTCACCAACTATTTTATATTTCAAATTCCTATATCACTTTTTAAAATTTTATACTAAAATTTCTGACATTTTAAAAGTAAAAAGAAAAGAGTGAACTATCCACAATCTATGCTCAGTAAATTGGAATTCAAAATTGGCCCCAAAATCTTTCCTTTCTCAAAACTCCTAACTTCATTCATGATTCTTCTCCATTTCCCTTTTTATCATCAAATCTCTGTCTTCCATAGCAGTGCTATTCAAAAGTCAAAACCATAATCCCTAAAAACGCCTATTCAACCTCATCTCTATTTTGTTCTGCATCGTTGCTTTCGGAACATGGAATCGATAAATCCATTTTCTGCGGACATTGGGCAAATGGTCGTGCCCACCAACTTACAACTTGGTCCATTTCTTCTCATATTGACACTCACTCCTCAAACACTTTGTTGTAAACTCTCCTCACTTGTTGCTTTTCAAAAATCATATCTCACATTCAAAAGTCATAATCTTCAAGACTCCTGAGTTTTCCTCAAAGCTATCATCTTCGAAGAAGAATTTTGCTATCTACCATGAATTGCAACATTGTACACCGTGCGTTGTCTTTTTTCCAAATTGTCAAATGTATCTTATCATGATATGTTTAGTACCCGTGTTACTTTTTATATGTATTTGATCTAACAAGTTACTGTTTTGAGCCTTTTCTAAGCATCGGATATCAATGTGTTATAGCATTTTTCATATGTTTATGTAACCACATTTATGTATATATCATTTTGAATACTGCATAATTACACTTGTGCGTTAAGTACCATGTTAAATCATCCTTATTCCGCTACCCTGTCAAATGTATCTTTCATGAGATGTATAGTAGATGTATTACATTTTATAGTATTCTATGCATTATTGATATTACAACACACTACCATTGTGTTACAGTGTTGCATTGTACATTCCTGTCAAAAGTATGCATGTTCTTTGAAACTATAACCACTGATATGAACTTGAATCAACTCGTACAATTTTCAATGTTTGATTTTGCTGATGATACCTAAGATCAGAGCATTCAACTGCATGATAAATTTCCATGCCATATATTGCAACATTGTCTTCATTAACTTCTTATCCTTGAGATTTGTTTCTCACTATCACATCATATTCCTATTTTCGTTACTACCCCGACATTATCTTCTAATTCGTCCTCATCTACTTCCATTATGTTCATCTAGATGTTAGCTGCATAACCCTCAACTGTTGGAAATATTGCAGATGGTTGTTTCATAACTAGACATGCGTCGCCACCATCTAGTTCATGAAATTTTATCAAATCTAATGTAATCTGATGTTGAACTAAACCACCCTCATTTAACATGTGAACAATGTCTACACGCATTGCATAAGTACTAATTCGAGGATCTTTCTATTTCAACTTAATGTAGAAGATAAGAGAATTGGCATTTGAAATTCTCATCGGTGCCATGTTACCATCAACATCGTACTGAATGTCCACACCCAAATATTGTCTACCTTTATTTCAGCCAATATCATTTCAAGAAGTTTCCATATCTGCAGTCAACTGGTACGAGTAGTCCAAACATTATCCATATCATATAATATGATCAGACTCCACTGATACAATCATTAAACAGTCAAAGACAGATATTCGTCAATCATATTGAGTTGTGAAATGAATTAGATCATCAAACCAAGAACATATGAACATGATTTCGTATTATTAGCCCGTGGAAATCAACGCAGTTCAAACATGATATGATGCAAACCACAAGCATTAAACAACCAAAACAAAAATTAAATTAAAAAAATAATGAAAATTAGTGTTTACAGAATAAAAACAGATTCTTAAAAAATCTTAACAACTGATTAATTCTAATCGTCAGCTAATTGACGATTGAGGTACATCAAAGATTGTAAAATTAAAAATATTTGTGAAATTTAAGGAATCATACAAGAATCTGGAAGCAAGAAAATCAGATGATCACACAATAAGCAGTAATATTTCTGGGAATTCCGTCCACGTAGATGTTAAATTGAAATTGAACATGCTTCCACTGTCAAGAAGCAAATGGGTTACCATTGAAAAATTTGAATTTGAAGGCGCTTTTCTTTATGTGGTAATTAATGCAGTCAAATTATGTTAATACTTCGCTTACAAAATGTTTAATTGAAAAATTTAAGGAAACAATATTTCTGGTAATGTTTTGTGTAATTTATATAGCAGTGGAAAATGGGTCAAATAACCCCTTTCATAATACACTTTGCTATTTTAGCCTTTGACCAGAGTAAAAATTTTAAAATAAAAATTTTAAATTAAAATTAATAAACAACCTAAATTACCCCTATTCAACACTACAGAATTTCCTCTTCCATTCCAAAATCGATTCAAACTGTGCCAAACCCTAGATTGGCCTTCAGTTTTGCTCTCTCAAACGGGAACGCCACAACGGGTTCCTCCCCTTGGGATCCCCCGACACAAAATCAATATATTCAGCCCGATCTCTTCTTGTCTTCTTCCTTCATGGATTACAAAGTTCATATACTACAACAAATCCTTATCACCATTGCACAAGAGTTATTCACCAATTTTAGTTCCAAGAACCAACATCTTACTGGGCTATCCGTATTTATGAAATTTCTAACGATATTTAGAGTTATTGACCCATAATTGCATAGGAGAACCTTGGTATATAGTTTTTTAGAATAGAATGAGTGCCTGAACAAAATCTTGATGTATTGCATTTATCATCAATATGTTAACTTAGTAATATTGCATTTTGAAATCAAGTAAAATGGAATGCTTTAAAATTTTATATGTTTTGGAATTCAAAATGGTTCAATTACCTAAAGTTGCATCCAGTTACTCCTAACTCCTCTGTTTTCTCTAACCTCTCTTGTCG